AATTAAAAAATACACAAACACTTAAAATATACTGACTAATTATGTAAAATACTGTAAAAAAAGCAACTATCCTACAAAAAATGATCTTTGTTATTCTTAATGTACAAATGTGTCATATAAATTATTTACATTTATAATATTTAATGTCTAAGTTGTTGAGAAACCTTGAAAATATAAAAGTTAATTTCCATTCCATGACATTATACTTGTCATTGCACTTTTGCATATTGTAACAGGAACATTATGATGTTAGGATGAACTTCAGCACTTGTATAATAGTGCTAAGATGGTGATATAAATTAGACATAAATAAAATCACATTTTTATATTTGTATTCAGATAATGATTTATATAACTGTTTTGTATAAAAATGCATCATTTTTTAATATCTCGTATCAATGTAAAGAATATTGGATTTGGTCTAATTAACAATATTGAAACAGTTTCAAATATAAATCAGTGTACACATGTGAAATTTGGATACATATTTTTAATGTACAAGCCTTTCAGATGTCAAAATAATAAATTTAAAAAAGTTTGATTGATTAAGCTAACATTGAAGAACTAGTTAAAATCAGAAAACTTGTAAAACATAGAGTTAGTAGTTTTGCATCTGATGGACTCACTGTGATTCTATACATAACATGACTGAAAAAGTACTATCTACATTGCAAATATTACTGTACCATTGATTCTATACATTAATAGATAAGATAGTAAGTTTATAAATACATATGTATATACATTTACATATAAATATAAAAACGAGTTAAAAAAGCATTTTATAAAAAGTGTAAAATAACTTCACACAATACTTGCTCATAAAAATCCTACTTTAGGTACAAGTATGACACTTGTTCGTATTAATTGTAAAAATTCATGCTAAATTTCATTTAACCATTTTATCTTAGATATCAAAAATTTATTACGTCTTATTCTTAAAATCTTCCTGAAATAATCACAGGGAGTAACTCCTATTGTTTTATATTGATTTGAAGTCCATGATTCTCGTATATATATTGTAGTAAAATATGGAGTTCATTTTTTTTTAAGTACAAATTAGAAGCAATGTATATTTTGCTACTAGTGGACTGTTCTCTACAGTGTTGTTACTTCAGTCAGTCTCATTGATCAATTAACAGTAGTAGTAATTGAGTCTACTCGATTTAATACAGAACTGAAGAAATACGAAAAATGTATTAAAGTCAAAGAGTATTGTACGCAAATTTCTTTGGATTCTCCTAGCAACATACAGTTTTCAGTTTACTATTATTTGTATCTTACAAGGCAGTGTTTGGTGGAAGTGTGATAAATGTTTATGTATCTACAGAAATATTAATTAAAAGCATCTTTAAAACACAAAGTAAATCATAATGGTCTCTTGTTAAAGGAAGTACGATTCGTATTCGTATTACACGTATTCAAACATCTTTATGTTTCTCTAATGCAGTCATAAATATTAACTTGCTCATCCATTTTGCTTCGTACTATTAAAAAATGTCTCATGACCACGCTTCAAGCTGATAATATTTACTTGCTTTACGTCCCGTAGTAGTATTCATTCACTAGTTCATTGCTCGTTATTAATGGCAGTATTCTTACTCAAATATACATGTATGTGTTTCTACAAAACGTAAGTAGCATTATAAATAACACAAAACCGTAAGATCCAGCTGCTTTCCTCGAAGCAAACGACGGAATCCTATTCCCTGATATACTGGGAGTACCTGTCATTTTATTTCAAAGTAATCAATGGTAAAATACGTAACATAATGTCAATAAAGATAATTTTTTTGCGTTTACCTAACACCCTCGATCGTGGAGTCGTTGTGATTTTCATTATTGGATTGTGAGGTATTGGCTTCATTGGTGTTGGAGCAGGACTTGGAGAATTTCCATAACATTGGCCTACATTATACGAAACCATTATATCTGTACTTTTAAATTAAACACTGTGTATGAATTCAGATACGTACCTTTCTTATACAAACGCATTCCTTCCTTCTTCGGATCAATATTTCTAATGCAATGATCGCCTGCTTCCTTGATATATATTTCTTCATCGTTGACAATTAAACCAACGAAACATTCGTTCGTACCCGTATCATTTCTCATAGTATATGCATACATGACACCTTTTTCTTCCCACTGTCCTAAGCATAAGTATGCCCGTTCTGAAACACATTTTTTTTTAAATTTCAAATAGGTATTTTAATGAAAATTATTTTTATTCAGAGATGTAATATTTGATACTTTACCTTCATAGAGTTCACCAGACTCACAGTCAGTGACTTTAAAGTACATTATTTCGCGTGTGTTGCAATTGCTACTCAACTCAGCGCACATCCCTGACAAGTCAGTTATCATCCCCATATACTGGCCAGTAATTGGACATGGCGATTCTACCGCACGTTCGATCCCTAATTGCAAGAGTATCATGTAATATAATTCTCTAGCAACATGTATAATTTCTATAATTTTTTTAACTTACGCGCTTGTGTCATCCAAACTGGTTTATCTAAGTTTGGATCATCACATAGATAATGTTGATAGACTGGACTTAACACTACTCCTGTATAAATTTGTAATTTTGTAAATTCAATTATTTAATTGATATTTATAATTAGTACAATATAATTATCGAAATAGTAAATACCTATCGTGAATTCTAATACATTTTCGCTTCTTTGCCTCATCATTAGACACAGATAAGCTGCTTGTTCACTGAAAATACGTATATGTTTTTTAGGTACATAAATATAAATAATCATTCTTAATACTTTATTAATTAATATTCTATTATACCATTGATCTTTGGAATAAACGATGTAGCGACCAGTTTCTTCGTTTGAATCCACGGTAATGAATGTGTAACTATTATAGCCATTAAGATCAGTGAAAGTCATAGTACCATTAACAATCAGAGACTCTTCCCATAAACCTTGGGCCCATTTTGGAAATCTATTCAACAATAACTTTTACTTAATTAATATAATAAAAGATTATTTCAAAACCACATTGTTATTGCAAATTTTGGATTAGTAGATACAATGGAAAAATATATACTAACGTTGCCACATGAGTCTTCACATAATTTGGCATTTTTTTTTGATTTGGAATTTTACTAAGGACTAGTGTCTCATATCCATTAGTGGAATTCTCCAAATTTTGTGTACAGCTGGAATCACTGCTAAGTGCCATGTATGTCTTTCCTTTTTTATTGTCAACATGGAACAACTATAAAAAGATGTCCTTTCAATTAAAAAAATCACGGTTATAGCATATTATTTTCCACTTACCCCACACCTATACTGTGGTCTACCCTCACAGACTGCACTGCTGTCCATCAGAGCAAAATAAGTGGAGCCATTTGGACCAGGCCAGTTGCCCAAGCAATTAAATGTAAGATTTGCTGAAACATTCATAATGATTAATGAATTTTCCTTTACTAATATACCAATAAATAAAAACAGTAGTAAAAAAATCAATAAGAAAATTACTGTGAGACTCAAAGCTGCAATGATTGAAGTGCAATCTTAAAATAGAGCCATCAGGACAATTGTTGAAGGAAGATGAGAAGCTGTTACACTCTATAGCATTCTCAGATCTATTATTCAGACTGTATTTGAAGTGATACTGACCAGTTATTGGACAATATTCATTTCTGATAAGAACATTCCCAATTTCCCTGGTACCTATTTAAAAAACAAGGTTATAATTAAACGTAAAGCAGTTTTAATATATTAGAAAATAAAATTATTTTTTACTAACGATACAAGATGGACGTAGAATTCAATTTATCACAGGAGGCCAATGCAGTGGCCGCAGAGGTGTAACATCTATTCAGATCTTCCGAGAATACCTCTATAACATTGCGTGATCTCCGCATCAACCGGAAGCATCGGATACAGTCGCCATCACCGTACCTAAAACAAATGCAAATTAATTTCGTATTTAATTCACAGATGAAATACTCAAACAGGAACATAGGAGGAAGTAAAAGTCTTGCATTATTAAACGACCGTGACAGGACAATGAAATCATCGTGCAACACTGCCGGTGCATCTCAGGTACAATTATACACCGTTAGTCGCGAAACAAGAAAGCGCGGCCGACACCGTCTGGAGCCTGATCTATTTCCATCCCAGACGTACTGCAGACGTCGTGGCATCTCTAAGGATATGCGTAAAGTAAGCGTGCATCGGGTAACTGTTACTGATTTGGTTACAACTTGACTTTTATAGAATCGCACCCATTTACAGGCTAAACATTGTAAATTCTTCAAACTTTATCTACGACTATACGAACATAAGAATTTAGGTTATACGCGACAGTAAAGAAAGTTTGGTGCTTGTAGCTGTTTTTAAATTCATAGTATTAAATAACTAATATATTTCTTATAGTAGCTATGTTTTATGTTTAAATTATCAAGTTATTT